AAGTGCTCTTGAACTTCCATCCGAAAACTGCCAGGCATCCGAGGCTCCCTGGGCACCACGCCAGCTGGGGGGGTACATCGCACCTGGAGAGCATGGGGACAGAGGAGAGGACAAGTGTGACACGGACCAGAGTGCAACTCCTGCCCCTATTGTCTTCTCTAAGCAGCGAGGGGTGAAAGCTGCCCCCAGTCCCGCACCCCTTGCCAAGACCCTCTGCTCTCTGCTAAGGATCTAGCCAGACCAAGCCCACCTGCCTCACCACTGATCCCCACACCTCGTTGACCTCCCCCAGCACCGGCACACATCCCTCCGCGCAGCTATCCCCAAGCACTGTGCTGCTGGCCCTGCACCACCTCTTGAGATGCACCCAGAGCACTGCCACCACGAGCCCCATACCATTGCATGGGGCACCGTTTCTATGGGAATCACTTTGATCACGCTTAGGAGCTCAGCCGCAGCGCTGTTGCAGGGCTATGTGGGCAACCCACCAGCCACATCCCCCCCGTGTGCTGGGGTAGTTGCCCTACACCTAGAGCACATGGCTGCACCTCACGAAGGAAAACCTTTCGTTAGTTCTGTTTACTCTGAATCCAACCCATTTCGGTATGACTTGCAGCAGTGTCAGGGACCACGCACACTGCAACCACTCAGGGCCAGTGGAGCACATCCTAGCACAGGGCAGTGGGTGCTGGCGGCTCTACGTTGCACTTGTGGGGCCTGGCTGTGATTCTGCCTGCTGCATCACGCTCCTGCATGGTACTGTGACCTTCCCACACAGCCTCCAAAAAGAGTTCTAAGCATTTACGGGGGAAAACATACAACTGGAGCATGCACGAGCTGTAGCAGCAGCTGGCATCTCTTTGCTTGCTGTAGAAACTCTGCACTCCAATAAACCCTGAAACTGTATTTCATCAGACAGTCACAGCCTCCAATGCCAAGCAAAATCATGGGATTGCTTATTCCTGTATTTGTTTCCACGCTTGGAAACATAATAAATATGAAACATCTGTAGCCTGAATTCCTGATACTGTTTCAGTGCCTTCATTCTATAAATCACTCAATTTAGAGAATATTAAATATTAATGGCAATGGGTCTGTGCCACAGAGATGTGTTCCTCCTCTCCAGCGGATGGGTTCTGAACTATGATCAGCAGCAATGGTGCCACCAAACACTGCTCTCAGGAACAGAGATGTAGAAATTCAGAGGTTCCTGGAGCATAGGCTGCGCTGTGCCGGGGCTCTGCACCGCTGGGAAACACTGTGGCTCTGTGGCTTCAGTTTCAGCATTCAGGCTGCAGCCACGGGGCTGTGCTCCTGGAGAGCTGAGTGCAAACCAAGCGCTGCCCAGAACAAGAGCCGTCGCCGTCAAGGCACACTTTCCACCCTTCCATGTGTTGGCCCTCTGCGGGGCACATGACTATTGCCTACATGAAAGGTAGCACAGAGAAACCTGAGGCTCCCTTGGGCAGCCCCACTCCAGTCTCCCTTCCTCCTGGCTGGGGCTAAAATTGAGCTTTCCTCTTTTAACTCAGAAAAGTGGTCATTTTTCTTTTCACACATAGGTGACACGCAACCTTTCCCATCTACATCCCAGCTCCCCCTTTTTGGAAGGGCGAAATACAGGCAATGAATGATGCCATCACAAGGAGACGACAGAACAACTGGAAAGCTTCACAGAAACCAAATGAAAAAGAAAAATAAATAACTAAACAAACAAACAAACAAATAAATAAAAAGAAAAGCATTCAATCCAAAGTTACAGTTGGAACAGCAAGAGACAGAACCACAGAAGTGGGTGCTTGGCCACGAGGTGCTGCGCACGCGGCACTTGTAGTACACAGCACAAAGGGTGCTGTGGGCCTGGAGCCCGGAGGTTAAGGTCCCACAAACCCGCGCTTCTGTTTAAAAAGGCCCAGGGGGGGCCACCCTGCCTGGCCCGGAGCGGCACGAGGGCCCGGAGACCGCAGAGCGGCCGAGCCACCGCCTGCTGCTGCGGCCCAGGGCTGCGCCTGTGCCGAATGAGGACGCCGAAGCGACAGTGTGTACTTTAAGGTTTTTTTTTTATTTTTTTTTTTCAATAAAAGGACAAAATGGGTGTATGAACAGGATAATGCAGACAACTGCCAAAAAAACACAGACAGTGGTTTTTTTTTTTTTTTTCCAATAGAACTTAACAAAGACCAGGAACAAATACAATAAAAAGCCAGGTTGTAATGACCTTTGGTCATCCAAATTAAAAAAAAAAAAAAAAAAAAAAAAAAAAAAAAAAAAAAAAAAAAATTAAAAAAAATTAAAAAAATCCCCTCCCAAAAAAACCCCAAAGAAAAACAAAAGATCAAATTCGGTGCCTCTGTTTTGAACAGAGCACATACGCAATAATAAATAGTGACTCCCATAGTAAAAGATAAAATTTCAAGTTACGACAAACAGCTTTCATTACAGGAATAGAAAAGGCCAATAACAAAATATTCTGCATTGCCATTTACAAAAAAGTATTGACTCAAGCGGGCTTTCTCTTTAATATGCTTTGCATATGAAATTCTTTCCAATCTAAATATAAAGCACCATTTAGTTTTTGGCAATGAAAAAAACTGCAAAACGTTTTTTTTTTTTTTGTTTCTTTTTGTTTTTTTTAGCTTTTTTTTTTAAGCTTTTTTTTTTTTCTTCCTTTCTTTTACTGCATATGAAGGTAAGATGCTGGAATGTAGGGTGATAGAAGGAGAGGGACATAAAGCACACTACGTAACAAACCAACGTTATCAGCTTGCAGTACTGCATACAGTATGGCAGCAGGAAAAAAAGAACAAAAAGATATGTACAACCCTCTGTGACGGCAGCAGCGTGACATTTCAACAGCTTTCCCCCAAGCAGCCATCATATGGCCTCTGATCTGTACAATGTCACGCTTTTTTGTCTTTTTGAAACATACAAATAATTTGCACTATATTATCCTGCCAAATTAAAAAAATATACTGTGGCAGCCTGGTTTTTTTTTTTTTTCCACTACCAAAAAAGGTATGTCAATACCTTTTCAGAGAACAAGCAACAGTTAAAAATACAAGCTTCAATATAAATACTATAGTGCCTACACTAGATGAACATTTAATTCAAATACCATTCTAGAAATACAGAAAAAAGAGACCATAAATGTATTTTAGCATAGGAATCAACATGAGTGTGCATTTTCCTATATTTAAGTACTATATAATCTTAAACCTTTCCCCGATGCATGTTTTGTACAACCTGAAGAGCTGTGTATATCAAAGGCATAGAATCTCCACTACCATTTTAAATGAGTAACAAGTCTGGTACACCACCAAGACAATGAACCCTAAAATACAGTTTCCCCCTAAACATAATGAAGTGTGTTTTTTTTTTTTTCCTTTTTAAAAAAATTTCTTAACATTTATATTTAAAAAAGTTTTGTACAAAAAAAATCTTCGCACTGTAGGAGCGAAAGCGATCATTTCTGTTATGTGAGTGTAGAGTCTGTATCCATTCACAGCGCTGCAGTGTTGCGTCCAAGGAGATAAGCTCATTACTCAAGTACATGGCTGGCAATGTTTGTTGGTTTTTGTTTGTTTTTTTTAATTTTTTTTTTATGTTTATCAATGAGATTGTGTTCAATTTTCTTTTTTTTTTCTTTTTTTCAGCATTCTTGCAACTTTTCCCTTTATGTATAGACCTGTAAACTGGGAAAATTGTACAGTGCATTTAATTGTCCTATCTGAGCAGTCTTATTTTATACTCAACCTCTGTACCTTCGATTAGAGGAAAGATACAGACATCTCAGGCAGAGTCAAGTGCTATCTGAATACCAACGGGGCAGGTGCTAGCTTAGTGAGAACACAACGAATCCTCTTCCATGTCAACACAAAGAGCACAAAGAGCATGAAAAAAAATGAAGTACAACTTTAGGGAGCACAGACATACACACTGCTACTCTTTATCTTTTCTCTCTCTCTTTTTTTTTAATTCTCCGTTCTTTCTCCAGAGCGTCACATTATAGGCAAGACTTAATAGTTCATAGTTAATCACGGTCATATCAATATTAGCTTATACACCTGCTCTAGTTTATATGGCAAACAGTACCACGTTGTGCTGATAAATCACAATTATTTTTCACTCCTCTATCTGTTACACTCAGTGAAGTATTATTGCCAGTCTTCTTTATTTATTTTTTTTTTTTTACATGGTACATGAGGTCTTAAAGTTTATAATTCAATTGTCAGCTTGACAACCAAGTGGTTCGGGATTTATTTGTTTTTGTGCCAGAATCAATAAAAGATATTATTAAAAGTAAATATCTTCATAAAACGAATTTCCTTACTTGTGTGTTTAACCACGGTGGAGGGCTCTGCGCATTTCACATTCTATTTAACCATCAGTATGGGGGGGGTACAAGAGTGGGGCAGGGAGCTCCTATCTCTTTGCACGCTCCGGGAGCGAGGCAGTCTCTACACCAGCACGAAGGGTCGGGACTGGGAGAGAGCAGGCAGAGGGGGGCTGCCGCCGTCAGGGCTGGGGCTGGGACTGGGGCTGGGGCTGGGGCTGCTCCTCCTCATACGTCCCCACGTCCCCACGTCCTCGCTCCTCACGCGGGCTCAGCGCCGAGATGAGCTACGAGTGCAGAGGGAGCAGAAAGGAGTCGTCAGCATCGCTCGCAAGAGATCCAAGGCACTCAGATTTTGTGTTTTAAACCAAATGAGAATAGGAATTTACCTCTCAGTTACCGGTGGCGGAGGGCTGGGCTTCAAGTAAAGGCCTGTTCCTAAGCGGTACTCTGTCCAATCGACACGTTTATTCTTTTAAGACAGAAATCTAGCTAACGTGACGCCTCTTCAGTGCTATCGGTCCTGTCCGCAGAAGGTTACCCAGAGTGCGCATTCCTTCACACGTCACAAAACAAAACTGTACATGATATGTATTACAGGATGTATGCAGCATGGTCGGTTCTGTTTGCTCTTGTTTTTGTTTTGTTTCGATTTTCTCTTTTCCTCTTTTTTTTTCTTTTTTTTTTTTTTTTTTTTTTTTTTTTTTTTTCCAAACGGAACTGGAAACAGCGACATGTTTGCTCAGCAACTAATCAGGGACAATTTAAAAAATAGCCATAACATACCATACATGCTGTCTAATTCAAAATAAAAAAATAAAACAAAAACAAAAACATACACAACATGTAAATTATTGCACAAGAGAAAGGCTCAAAGTTTGCGTAAAATGCAATAGTATTGCCCCGATACAGATCATGCATTCAAACGGTGAGAACAAAAAGAAAATAAACAGGTGTGCTGGTGACAAGCACTTTCCAAATTTCCTTAGCTTCCATTAGTTTAATCACAAGGGACTAAAAAACCTCTACAGGGAGCCGGGGCAGGGACGGGGAGTATTAATATACCTCTATTCAGTTTTTATCTCATTATTCAAGACTCGATCACTGTGCCATTTTTTCATGTGTTTCTCCAGGGTACTGTACACGCTAAAAGGCATCTTACAAATCTCGCATTTGTAAACGTCCTTTCCCACCTGACCATGTGTTTTCATGTGCCGAGTGAGCTTGCTACTCTGGGCGCAGGCGTAGTTGCAAAGCTCACACTTATAGGGCCGCTCGCCCGTGTGGCTCCGTCTGTGGACAGTGAGATTACTACAGTTCTTGAAGACTTTCCCACAGTACTCACAAGTGTCGCTGCGTCTGCCCTCTTTTGAGCTGGGCCTGCCAGGGCCCGGGCCACTAATATGCGGGGTGCTCCCTCCACTTCCCGTGCCGCTTCGGCCCGAGATGCCACCATCCAGCTCTCCCGGCGGCGTGGAGAAGCGCAGGCTGCCATTCTCTGATGAGTGCTCAGAGGAGGAGGCGAAGGGCGATTGTCGGGAGTCACCAAAGCTGAGGAAGGGGTCCTTCAGCTGCCGCGAGGCAGCATAGCCAGCCAGCCACTGCGAGTAAACATTTTCGGTGTTGGGCATGGCGGCGGTGGGTAGGTCGAACTCCTTCTCCAGCTTGATGCGTTTGGAGAAGGGGCTCAGGGAGCTGGGACTACCTAGCAGCAGCTTTTTGGACAGGCCGCCTGAGGCAGACTCCCCAGGGGAGCAGCCCCGGCCGTTGACCGCCCCGTCGTCAATGCGGTCGGACTCACCAGCCACCGAGTCTTCATCGCAAGTGTCCCTGTGTACCTCGGCCTCGGAGAGGTGGCCCCGTTTGTGCTTCTCCCCCAGCACCTGGTGGAAGGCCTCGCTGAAGTGTTGCATGGAGCTGAGAACCATACCTTGCATGACATCTGGCATCGACCGGCTCTCCTCTCCGGCCCGCGAGTTGTTCTCGTGGTGGTGGGCCGCCTCCAGGTTCATCCCAAAGCCATAATCTGGCCTCTCATTCTCGGTCAAGTCCTCCTCTTCTTCCTCCTCTTCTTCCTCCTCCTCCTCCTCCTCTTCCTCTTCCTCCTCATCTCCATTCTCGGGGATCATGTTGGGGTCATTCTCACTCTTGAACTTGGCCACCACTGACTTGAGGGCACTGCTGGCACTGCCAACCAGGTCGCTGGTACCGGGCTCAGGGGAGCTGGCAGTGGAGAGCCCATCATCGGACTTCACCGTCATGGGTGATGACTTGTGCATGTGTGTCTTCATGTGGCGCTTCAGTTTGCTGGCCTGAGTGCAGGCATGGTCGCACAGGTTGCACTTGTAGGGTTTCTCCCCAGTGTGGCTCCTGCGGTGGACCACCAAGTTGCTCTGGAACTTGAAGGTCTTCCCACAGAACTCGCAGGACTTGGACTTCATTGGTGGCTGGGAGGGAGGAGGAGCGGACTGCAGAGGAGGAAGAGGTGGTGTGGCCAGGAACGGGGGTTTGCTGCCAGGCTGGAAGGGCTGCAGCAGCCTTTGCATAGGGCTGGGCCGGCTCGGGGACAGGGGCGGACTGGAGGTGTTGCCGGCCAGCTCCCGCAGCCGCCGGGAGAAATCCATAGCAGGGGGCTCCATCGCCATGGGGTTCAGTCGCAGCACCCTGTCAAAGGCACTAGGGTGATGGGTGGCCAGAGCCATTTCTTCGGCACCCAGGCGCTCTATGCGATGCGGATCCAAATGGTGCCTCGGGGGAGGGCTAAAGAGGGGCGGCGTGGGTGGGAATCGCCCTTCTCCCAGCCCTGACGCCTCTCTCGAGACCGAGCCAGGTATTCTGAGCAGGTTAAAAGGGTTATTGTCTGCAATGTGAATCCCATGGAGAGGTGGCTGGGAAGGGCACTCTGCACCTAGTCCTGATGGGATACCAACCCGTGGTGTCAGGGGGCTGCCATGCTCGCTTTCTAGGTAGATCCGTAAGCCGTGCGTGTTCTGTGCATGCTGCAAGAGGAACCAGGCGCTGTTGAAAGGTTGTTTACAAGTCGTGCACGTGTAGCTGCTGGGCTCTTCTTTACCTGCAAAACAACACAACAGCAGCGTAAATGTTTAATCGCATCCACGCCTGAGCTGTCCTACCACACAAGGCCACAGCCAAGTGGGGAGAAGGGAGCATTCAGGGCTGGAGGAAGCTCCACTCCACTTCCCAGCTCAGAACTGAACTCAGAACTGTGGAATAGGGCCTGGACCAGGGAGAAAGTTGCAGACAAACAGGGAGTGGACTAGAGCACTGCAGATGGGCTGAGGCTGGTGAACGGCATGGCAGCAGGGAGCGAGCACACTGTTACACGGTCATTCATTTTGGGAGATAACATGGGGATTACAAAGGAGCAACCAACTAATAAATAATTAAACAAAAAGCAAGCTAATAATGGCAGAAGAAAGCAGCCCCTGATGATATTAAAAAGCAAGGGAAATTAATAACTTTTTGAGAGCATAAGGGAAGAGCAGTGGGAGATAGGGAGACAATGAGCATGTTTCCATCAGTCCCGGTAAGTTTGTGCATAAGCAACTTCCACCTCTGTACGCAATTGTTGCTCAATGCTGGTAACCTGCAACTAGAGCTAAGATGAGCACAAAAAATAATCTCCAGTCCTGCCTAGCTGCTCTGTAGAGTTGCTATTTCTGTGATTTAAAAACAAAAAAAAAAAAAAGAAACCCAACAACAACAGCAAAAAAAAAAAAAAAACACCCCTGAGATTTGCCAAGTACAAATAACAAAAATACCCCCAAGGTCTTCCCAAGTAAGCTGTGCCCAGGGGACTCCCAGCTCCAGCCAAACCACTGCAGGTAAATCTCAGCATGAGACAATGTAAGAGTTACCCAAATAAGGTTTAACATAATTGCCTAGCGTGAAGAAATGGGAATTAAAGGAAAGAGAAAAAAAAAAAGCAGATATGGAAAGAGAACATAATTTTATCCACAACCATCTTGTTTCCCGTCTCAGTTGAGGAGAACAGCTTCATCCAGGTGTTGTACAATGAGCTGAATGGTGAGATGGGAACAGCAGGGAGTCAACCAGCAGCACCAGCAGAGAAATGCTGCAGCCACCCGCTTCCTCCATCATTACACGTTTGGCCTGACAATCTGAATTGGGTAAGTAAAACACACCTTGGCCATCTCCAGCAGGTGTTTAACACTTTAGGCCACTTTAAAAGCTCTTGGAATAATATTTGACATCTCGTCCTTCAACTGCAGTCAGCGTTCAAATAAAATGCATCACAGTGCTTGCTATACACCAGACATGCAAGCGCAGATAAATACTTAAATCTGTTGAAATTAGAGCAAAATTCAATTGGGCTTTCACATTCACTCTGCTCATTTGTGAGCTCAGGAGGAAAAAGAAAAGAAAAAAAAAAAAAAAATGAAAATTTCATCTTGCTTTGCTGTAACAAAGTGGAAGTTTTTACCAATGCACTATAAGTCACACATCATGGCCACAGTGCACTGACAAAGTAAGGCTACCTTGTTTCTCTATTTTATGTATTAGCACAGAGAAAATAGCATTTTATCTTATAATGAGGATACAACATACAGTGCTCACTATCACATTTTAGTATTCCCATCAACTAGATATTCCAGATCATAAGGGCAGCTAGCATAATCATAATGTCAATGAGAAGGGCTGTTACGACTGAGACTAAAGATTACATGGAAAAAGCTGCTTTGAAACTAGTAATTATTACCAGTCCACTAATAGCAAATGATGCATTACAGTTTCACCATATAATCTGTATTTCACTCAGCTCCTGCCAGTACAGCCTTATTATATTACTGTGCTCACAAATTCTAAATTCCTAAACTACAGTCATCAATAAATGTGTTACTTGCCATAATTTGCAAAATTACTTTGTTCAAAACATCTTCGACTGTTATAAAGACTAGAATTGATTTCCTGCATAGTAAAATTAGGGCTACATTGATTTAGTGGAGTGTAAAATGCAATATTATTCTTCATTTGCTTTCCTGAAAAACAAGTTTTTAATTTGCCGTCCATGTTTGGTAATCAAGACAATAATTTAAATTTAAAATAATGTTTATGTACAAAACCTCCCTAATTTCAAACAACCGACCATTTTCGGAAGAGTGTCATAAAGCTGGGCAATAAAAGAAAGCAGTGAAATGGTTAAAATCTGTGGTTTGCCTCCACCTCCTACTTTGAAGAGACTCAATTTCTAATTTGTCTATTAGTGCTTGATTAATTACGGAGGCTATGGACTGACCAGCTTAACATAGGCCTTGCCAATTGGTAAGAATTACGGCAATTGGTTGCTCATTGCTGGCAAGCAGAGACATGCGCAATACAGAAGGTTTGAAGGAGTCTCACCTTCCCTTTATGCCAACCCATCATGCATAGTTGTGTTCCTGTAGTAGCCCAGGCTGGAAGGAATCCAGTGGATGCTTCATTTCATAGCTTGCCTCACCTTCCACCAGGACAATTCTGCCTTGCCACTAGGGTTTTCCAACAATTTCCAAGAGACTTACAGAGTGTCTCAAACCTGGACGTGAAGCAGGACGCCACCACCCCAGCCCATGGCTCCACCTCTATCCCTTCCCTCCTGTTGCTTGCTTATTGGTGATCCACTGGAAAGCGCCTTGGTATACACAGTGCCCCCCACATGCCAAGGAAGCACACAGAAAACATGGCACATTAAGTTTTCTGAAAGAAAAACTTGAGCCCCTCCCAGTCCCACTCCAAAACTTGTTTGTTTTTTTTCACAGCTTTTCACTCAACGAGTGGAACAGGTGCTGGCACAGGCACCTGCTCAGAGGAGCTGAGGATGTCCCATCCCCAGAGGCGCTCAAGGCAAACAGCAGTTGGGGCTGGGTGGGCTTTAACGTCACTTCAAACTCAAGGTATTCTATGATAATTTCCTGTAGCTCAGTGCACGTGCAGACTTCCACAAACACATGGGCTTACTCCCCATGATACCCCCATGCAAAACTTCATCCTGAGACCATTCATCTCCATCCTCCTGCGTATGCCATCAATACCACACGGCACTTACTCTTCCATCTCATGCAGAACCACGTCTAACACCTTGCAAAGTCTATTTCATCTGCATTTATCAACCAAGCTTGTCATCCTGAAGAATGAAATCCGGTTTATTTGACAAGATTTGTATTCCATAAATTTGAGTGGCATGTATTATATTTTAGCCTTAATTCTTTATCAATTGAATCTCATGCCAGCTCCTCAATTATTTTCCCTGAGCAGATAAGCAAAGTATTACTAATGGTCTCCCAGTTACCCAGCCACCCATGGACACTATTTTCCCAGTTTGTAAACTTCATAAAGAACAAGCATCACTTGCCAACATTTAGGGATTCTTGGGTGCAAGTTGTCAGAGCTTTTTCACTTAAAGATATTTATCTCCATTGGATCTCATATAAAATCCTCCTCAGCTACTAACGGCATAGAAAAAAATGTCACCACATACCTATGATACACAAATGTAATATTTCCAGCCCTTCAGCAGAAATATTGATCAAAACCACTACCTTGATGCTCCCTTTGCCTAAACCCAGCTGTGAGCTCTCCAGGAACACCTGTATTTCCAGCGTTCTTTTTGGCCAAGGTTGCCTTCTCCTTCCTGGTCAGATCAGAACAAAAGCAGCTTCCAGTTACCATTTACAGTTCTCTGTGTTCATTTTTCCTCCCAGAAAACCTTACTGACAATTTCCCTCACCTCTCGGGAACTGGCCCCAGGCCCCATGGGCAGCACAGAAGCATGGTGCAGCCCCATTCCCCCTTTGCTTTTTGTAGTGGCATCAGTGCCAAGGATCTGGCTTGTAGGCTTGCACAAAACCCTCAGAACCACAGGAGGCCATGTTTTGGATGTCATGCACAAATCCTGAATGAATACACCCCACTCCTCTTTTTCTCAACCCTATGAAGACTATACTGGGACACCCTGTGGCGAACAGGAATGCATGGCCACTAAGAGCCAGACAGAAACCCAGTGGGTCTCACCAATGACTGCTCACCCATGACCACAGATTTACTCCTGTTGAGCACCCCAGCCCACAGACAGCCAGTGCTACCACACCACATTTCTAAGGAGCACCATGTAGTACCTAACATGCCTCTTGGAACAGATCCTACCTTCCACGGCCCCAAGAGAAGTGAATTAAGTTGGAACACATGAGCAACAGATTTAGATTCCAATCTGAAAAACCATTAACAAATGACTGGAATGGATACTGGCATTTGAGTGCCTTTCAGGGCAGTTGGCACAATTACTTAATAAAACAGGAAGATATGCCTGCACTCAGCATTCAGAGGTTTCTCTAAATTACAAAAATAACATAGCTGATCCTTCCTGACCATGCTCACAGAGTAACCCACCAAGCTCCCGACACCTGGGCACAACACAAGGCTGCGGCCGTGCCCGCAGCACCAGCAGCCGTGCCAGACACGGGCTGGGGAAGGGACCAGCTGGGAGGAGAAGCTGTCAGCTAGATGCCACTGCTGGGAGTGAAACACATTCTGGAGCAAGGCGCCCAACTCCAACCATTGCCAAGTGAGTAATGGAATAATCTGCATGTGCGAGCCAATGTGTTTTGGAAGAGCTTCCTCCATTTCTCAAAAGTCAGGGTTGGATCCAGAAAAGCTGCTCTCCGGACACACAGGAGCTTTCGAGAAGTGGCAAAACAGCTACACAGCATCACACCTTTGGGTGACCGCCTGGCTCTGCAGTCCCTCTGTTTCCCTGTGCTTGCTTCAAGAAACACCCAGGGGTGCTGCCACACTGCAGGTCCCGTGGGTGACTCGAGCACATACCTGAGACCTTTTGTCATCAGACAGAGACCAGAGCACCTGCAGCAAGCACCTCCCTCACTTCTGCTTGCCATGCAAGACAACTTGAGCCAAACCCAGAGACTTCTTCATCCTCCTTTAATGTCAACTAACTGCTTGAATTTTGGACAGATAAATGTTGAGTTGTTATGCTATTTAAAGGGGGGGAAGAGAAAGAGGAGTTAATTGTTACCACTTGTACTTGATTCAGCTCTCCTC